CTTGAGATTTGGGTGGTGGTTGAACTTTAGTTTGTGTCGTGTTTTAACTTGAGTTTGTGATGTTTTTGAATTTGAGTTTGTGTGTTGGTTGAACTTAAGTTTGTTTCGTGTTTGAACTTGAGTTCGCGTCATGTTTGAACTTGAGTTAGTGTGTTTTTTGAACTTAAGGTTGTTTCAATTTTTAAACTTGAGATTTGGGAATTGGTTGAACTTGAGTTATTGTGTTTGTTGAACTTGAGTTCGTGTCGTGTTTAAACTTGAGTTTGTCGTGTGTTTGAACTTGAGTTTGTGTGTTTTTTGAACTTGAGGTTGTGGCAATTGTGAAACTTGAGATTTGGATGGTGGTTGAACTTTAGTTTGTGTCGTGTTTGAACTTTAGTTAGTGTTGTTTGTTTAACTTGAGTTTGTCTGTTTTTTGAACTTGAGGTTTTGAAATATTTTAAACTTGAGATTTGGGTATTGGTTGAACTTGAGTTAGTGTGTTTGTTGAACTTAAGTTCGTGTCGTGTTTGAACTTGAGTTTTTAGTGTTTTTGAACTTGAGTCTGTGTGTTTTTTGAACTTTAATTTGTGTTGTGTTTGAACGTGAGTTTGTGGTGTTTTTGAACTTGTGTTTGTTTCATGTTTGAACTTGAGTTTGTGGCGTTTGTTGAACTTGAGTTTGTGGTGTTTGTTGAACTTGAGTTTGTGTCATGTTTGAACTTGAGTTTGTAGTGTGTTTGACCATGAGTTTGTGGTGTGTTTGAACTTAAGTTTATGTGTTTGTTGAACTTGAGGTTGTGGCAATTTTCAAGCTTGAGATTTGGATGTTGGTTGAACTTGAGTTTGTGTGTTTTTTGAACTTGAGTTCGTGTTGTTTGTAGAACTTGAGTTTGTGAAAATTTTTATACTTGAGAATCAGGTGTTGGTTGAACTTGAGTTTGTGGTTTTTGGTAGACCTGAGTTTGTGTCGTGTTTGAACTTGAGTTTGTGGTGTTTTTGAACTTGAGTTTGTTTCGTGTTTGAACTTGAGTCTGTGTTGTTTTTGAACTTGACGTTTTGGAAATTGTTAAACTTGAGAATTGGGTGTTGGTTGAACTTGAGTTTTTGTTGTTTTTGAACTTGAGTTTGTGTCATATTTGATCTTGAGTTTGTGGTGTTTTTGAACTTGAGTTTGCATGTTTGGTGAACTTGAGTTTGTGTGTTTTTTGAACTTGAGATTGTGGAAATTTTTAAACTTGAGAATCAAGTTTTGGGTGAACTTAAGTTTGTTTGTTTGTTGAACTTGAGTTTGTGTCGTCTTTGAACTTGAGTTTGTGTCGTTTTTGAACTTGAGTTTGAATTTTTTTGAACTTGAGTTTGTGTTGTGTTTGAACTTGAGTTGCATGTTTGGTGAACTTGAGTTTGTGTGTTTTTTGAATTTGAGTTTCTGTTGTTTTTGAACTTGAGGTTGTGGAAATTGTTAAACTTGAGAATCAGGTGTTTGAACTTGAGTTAGTCTGTTTGTTGAACTTGAGTTTTTTGTCGTGTTTGAACTTGAGTTTGTGGTGTTTTTGACCTTGAGTTTTTGTGTTTGTTGAACCTGAGTTTCTGTTGTGTTTGAACTTAAGTTGCGTGTTTGGTGAACTTGAGTTTGTGTGTTTTTTGAACTTGAGTTTCTGTTGTTTTTGAACTTGAGGTTGTGGAAATGGTTAAACTTGAGAATCAGGTGTTGGTTGAACTTGAGTTGCGTGTTTGGTGAACTTGAGTTTGTATTGTCTTTGAACTTGAGTTTTTTTTTGTTTTTGAACTTGAGGTTGTGGAAATTGTTAAACTTGAGAATCAAGTGTTGGTTGAACTTGAGTTTGTGTGTTTGTTGAACTTGAGTATGTGTCGTGTTTGAACTTGAGTTTGTGTCGTTTTTGAACTTGAGTTTGTGTGTTTGTTGAACATTTCGTTTGTGTTGTGTTTGAACTTGAGTTTTTGTCGTGTTTGAACTTGAGTTACGTGTTTGTGAACTTGAGTTTGTGTGATTTTTGATCTTGAGTTTCTGTTGTTTTTGAACTTGAGGTTGTGGAAATGGTTAAACTTGAGAATCAGGTGTTGGTTGAACTTGAGTCTTTGTTGTTTTTGAACTTGAGTTTGTGTCATGTTTGATCTTGAGTTTGTGGTGATTTTGAACTTGATTTGGCATGTTTGGTGAACTTGAGTTTTTGTGTTTTTTGAACTTGAGATTGTGGAAATTGTTATACTTGAGAATCAAGTTTTGAGTCAACTTGAGTTTTTGTCGTGTTTGAACTTGAGTTTGTGTTTTTTTTTCAACTTGAGTTTGTGGAAATTGTTAAACTTGAGAATCAGGTGTTGGTTGAACTTAAGTTTGTGTGTCTGTTGAACTTGAGTTTGTGTCGTGTTTGAACTTGAGTTTGTGTCGTTTTTGAACTTGAGTTAGTGTGTTTGTTGAACTTGAGTTTGTGTTGTGTTTGAACTTGAGTTTGTGTCGTGTTTGAACTTGAGTTGCGTGTTTGGTGAACTTGAGTTTGTGTCGTGTTTGAACTTGAGTTGCGTGTTTGGTGAACTTGAGTTTGTGTGTTTTTTGAACTTGAGTTTCTGTTGTTTTTGAACTTGAGGTTGTGGAAATTGTTAAACTTGAGAATCAGGTGTTGGTTGAACTTGAGTTTTTGTGTTTGTTGAACTTGAGTTTGTGTCGTGTTTTAACTTGAGATTGTGTCGTTTTTGAACTTGAGTTTGTGTGTTTGTTGAACTTGAGTTTGTGTTGTGTTTGAACTTGAGTTTGTGTCGTGTTTGAACTTGAGTTGCGTGTTTGGTGAACTTGAGTTTGTGTGTTTATTTGAACTTGAGTTTCTGTTGCTTTTGAACTTGAGGTTGTGGAAATTGTTAAACTTGAGAATCAGGTGTTGGTTGAACTTGAGTTAGTCTGTTTGTTGAACTTGAGTTTTTTTGTCATGTTTGTGAACTTGAGTTTCTGTGATTTTTGATCTTGAGTTTCTGTTGTTTTTGAACTTGAGGTTGTGGAAATGGTTAAACTTGAGGATCAGGTGTTGGTTGAACTTGAGTCTTTGTTGTTTTTGAACTTGAGTTTGTGTCATGTTTGATCTTGAGTTTGTGGTGATTTTGAACTTGATTTGGCATGTTTGGTGAAATTGAGTTTTTGTGTTTTTTGAACTTGAGATTGTGGAAATTGTTATACTTGAGAATCAAGTTTTGAGTCAACTTGAGTTTTTGTCGTGTTTGAACTTGAGTTTGTGTTTTTTTTTTATCTTGAGTTTGTGGTGTTTTTGAACTTGAATTTGGGTGTTTGTTGAGCTTGAGTTTTTGTGTTTTTTGAACTTGAGTTTCTGTTGTTTTTGAACTTGAGGTTGTGGAAATTGTTAAACTTGAGAATCAGGTGTTGGTTGAACTTAATTTTGTGTCGTGTTTGAACTTGAGTTCGTGTCGTGTTTGAACTTGATTTTGTGGTGTTTTTGAACTTATTGTGGAAATTTTTAAACTTGAGATTTGGGAATTGGTTGAACTTGAGTTATTGTGTTTGTTGAACTTGAGTTTGTGGTGTTTGTTGAACTAGAGTTTGTGGTTTTTGTTGAACTTGAGTTTGTGGCGTTTGTTGAACTTGAGTTTCTGTTGTTTTTGAACTTGAATTTGTGTCGTGTTTGAACTTGAGTTTGTGGCGTTTGTTGAACTTGAGTTAGTGGTGTTTGTTGAACTTGAGTTTTTGGTTTTTGTTGAACTTGAGTTTGTGTCGTTTTTAAACTTGAGTTTGTGTGTTTTTTGAACTTTTGTTTGTTTCGTGTTTGAACTTGATTTTGTGGTGTTTGTTGAACTTGAGTTTGTGTGGTGTTTGAACTTGAGATTGTAGCGTATTTGACCATGAGTTTGTGGTGTTTTTGAACTTGAGTTTTTGTGTTCGTTGAACTTGAGTTTGTTTCGTGTTTGAACTTGAGATTGTGGTGTTTTTGAACTTGAGTTAGTGTGTTTGTTGAACTTGAGTTTGTGTCGTGTTTGAACTTTAGTTTGTGGTGTTTGTTGAGCTTGATTTTGTGTCGTGTTTGAACTTGAGTTTGTGGTTTTTGTTGAACTTGAGTTTGTGTCGTGTTTGAACTTGAGTTTGTGTGTTTTTTGAACTTGAGTTTGTCTGGTTTTTGAACTTGAGTTTGTTTCGTGTTTGAACTTTAGTTTGTGGCGTTTGTTGAGCTTGATTTTGTGTCATGTTCCAACTTGAGTTTGTGGTTTTTGTTGAACTTGAGTTTGTGTCGTGTTTGAACTTGAGTTTGTGTGTTTTTTGAACTTGAGTTTGTCTGGTTTTTGAACTTGAGTTTGTTTCGTGTTTGAACTTGAGTTTGTGGCATTTGTTGAATTTGAGTTTGTGTCATGTTTGAACTTGAGTTTGTGGTGTTTTTGAACTTGAATTTGCGTGTTTGGTTAACTTGAGTTTTTGTGTTTTTTGAACTTAGCTTTCTGTTGTTTTTGAACTTGAGGTTGTGGAAATTGTTAAACTTGAGAATCAGGTGTTGGTTGAACTTGAGTTTGTGTGTTTGTTGAACTTGAGTTTGTGGTGTTTTTGAACTTGAGGTTGTTGAAATTGTTAATCTTGAGAATTGGGTATTGGTTGAACTTGAGTTTGTGTCGTGTTTGAACGTGAGTTTGGTTCATGTTTTAACTTGAGTTTGTGATGTTTTTGAATTTGAGTTTGTGTGTTGGTTGAACTTGAGTTTGTGTTGTGTTTGAACTTGAGTTTGTGGTGATTTTGAACTTGAGTTTGTGACGTGTTTGAACTTGAGTTTGTGGCGTTTTTGAACTTGAGTTTGTGGTGTTTCTGAACTTGAGTTTGTGGTGTTTTTGAACTTGAGTTTGTGGCGTTTGTTGAACTTGAGTTTCTGTTGTTTTTGAACTTGAATTTGTGTCGTGTTTGAACTTGAGTTTGTGGCGTTTGTTGAACTTGAGTTTGTGGTGTTTTTGAACTTGAGGGTGTGGAATTTATTTAAACTTGAGAATTGGGTTTTGGTTGAACTTGCGTTTTTGTGTTTTTTAAAATTGGTTTGTGTAGTGTTTGAACCTGAGTTTGTGGTGTTTTTGAACTTGAGGTGCGTGTTTGGTGACCTTGAGTTTGTGTGTTTTTTGAACTTGAGTATCTGTTGTTTTTTGAACTTGAAGTTGTGGTTTTTTTGAACTTGAGGGTGTGGAATTTGTTAAACTTGAGAATTGGGTTTTGGTTGAACTTGAGTTTGTGGTGTTTTTGAACTTGAGTTTGTTTCGTGTTTGAACTTGAGTTTGTGGCGTTTGTTGAACTTGAGTTTCTGTTGTTTTTGAACTTGAATTTGTGTCGTGTTTGAACTTGAGTTTGTGGCGTTTGTTGAACTTGAGTTTGTGTCGTGTCTGAACTTGAGTTTGTGGTGTTTTTGAACTTGAGTTTGTGGTGTTTTTGAACTTGATTTTGTGTTTGAACTTGAGTTTGTGGTGTTTTTGAACTTGAATTTGTGTCGTGTTTGAACTTGAGTTTGTGGCGTTTGTTGAACTTGAGTTCTTGGTGTTTTTGAACTTGAGGGTGTGGAATTTGTTAATCTTGAGAATTGGGTATTGGTTGAACTTGAGTTTGTGTTTTTGTTGAACTTGAGTTTGTGTCGAGTTTGAACTTGAGTTTGTGGTGTTTTTTAACTTGATTTTGTGTGTTTGTTGAACTTGAGTTTGTGTTTGAACTTGAGTTTGTGGTGTTTTTGAACTTGAATTTGTGTCGTGTTTTAACTTGAGTTTGTGTGTTTGTTTAACTTGAGTTTGTGTTGTGTTTGAACTTGAGTTTGTGGCGTTTGTTGAACTTGAATTTGTGTCGTGTTTGAACTTGAGTTTGTGGCGTTTGTTGAACTTTAGCTTGTGTTGTGTCTGAACTTGAGTTTGTGGTGTTTGTTGAACTTGAGTTTGTGTGGTGTTTGAACTTGAATTTGTAGCGTGTTTGACCATGAGTTTGTGGTGTTTTTGAACTTGAGTTTTTGTGTTCGTTGAACTTGAGTTTGTTTCGTGTTTGAACTTGAGATTGTGGTGTTTTTGAACTTGAGTTAGTGTGTTTGTTGAACTTGAGTTTGTGTCGTGTTTGAACTTTAGTTTGTGGTGTTTGTTGAGCTTGATTTTGTGTCGTGTTTGAACTTGAGTTTGTGGTTTTTGTTGAACTTGAGTTTGTGTCGTGTTTGAACTTGAGTGTTTGTGTTTTTTTAACTTGAGTTTGTGTGGTTTTTGAACTTGAGTTTGTTTCGTGTTTGAACTTGAGTTTGTGGCGTTTGTTGAATTTGAGTTTGTGTCATGTTTGAACTTGAGTTTGTGGTGTTTTTGAACTTGAATTTGCGTGTTTGGTTAACTTGAGTTTTTGTGTTTTTTGAACTTAGCTTTCTGTTGTTTTTGAACTTGAGGTTGTGGAAATTATTAAACTTGAGAATCAGGTGTTGGTTGAACTTGAGTTTGTGTGTTTGTTGAACTTAAGTTTGTGGTGTTTTTGAACTTGAGGTTGTTGAAATTTTTAATCTTGAGAATTGGGTATTGGTTGAACTTGAGTTTGTGTCGTGTTTGAACGTGAGTTTGGTTCGTGTTTTAACTTGAGTTTGTGATGTTTTTGAATTTGAGTTTGTGTGTTGGTTGAACTTGAGTTTGTGTTGTGTTTGAACTTGAGTTTGTGGTGATTTTGAACTTGAGTTTGTGACGTGTTTGAACTTGAGTTTGTGGCGTTTTTGAACTTGAGTTTGTGGTGTTTCTGAACTTGAGTTTGTGGTGTTTTTGAACTTGAGTTTGTGGCGTTTGTTGAACTTGAGTTTCTGTTGTTTTTGAACTTGAATTTGTGTCGTGTTTGAACTTGAGTTTGTGGCGTTTGTTGAACTTGAGTTTGTGGTGTTTTTGAACTTGAGGGTGTGGAATTTATTTAAACTTGAGAATTGGGTTTTGGTTGAACTTGCGTTTTTGTGTTTTTTAACTTAGGTTTGTGTAGTGTTTGAACCTGAGTTTGTGGTGTTTTTGAACTTGAGGTGCGTGTTTGGTGACCTTGAGTTTGTGTGTTTTTTGAACTTGAGTATCTATTGTTTTTTGAACTTGAAGTTGTGGTTTTTTTGAACTTGAGGGTGTGGAATTTGTTAAACTTGAGAATTGGGTTTTGGTTGAACTTGAGTTTGTGGTGTTTTTGAACTTGAGTTTGTTTCGTGTTTGAACTTGAGTTTGTGGCGTTTGTTGAACTTTAGTTTCTGTTGTTTTTGAACTTGAATTTGTGTCGTGTTTGAACTTGAGTTTGTGGCGTGTCTGAACTTGAGTTTGTGGTGTTTTTGAACTTGAGTTTGTGGTGTTTTTGAACTTGATTTTGTGTTTGAACTTGAGTTTTTGGTGTTTTTGAACTTGAGTTTGTGTCGTGTTTTTACTTGAGTTTGTGTGTTTGTTTAACTTGATTTTGTGTTATGTTTGAACTTGAGTTTGTGGGGTTTTTGAACTTGAGTTTGTGGCGTTTGTTGAACTTGAGTTTCTGTTGTTTTTGAACTTGAATTTGTGTCGTGTTTGAACTTGAGTTTGTGTCGTGTTTGAACTTGAGGTTGTGGAAATTGTTAAACTTGAGAATCAGGTGTTGGTTGAACTTGAGTTAGTCTGTTTGTTGAACTTGAGTTTTTTTGTCGTGTTTGTGAACTTGAGTTTGTGTGATTTTTGATCTTGAGTTTCTGTTGTTTTTGAACTTGAGGTTGTGGAAATGGTTAAACTTGAGGATCAGGTGTTGGTTGAACTTGAGTCTTTGTTGTTTTTGAACTTGAGTTTGTGTCATGTTTGATCTTGAGTTTGTGGTGATTTTGAACTTGATTTGGCATGTTTGGTGAACTTGAGTTTTTGTGTTTTTTGAACTTGAGATTGTGGAAATTGTTATACTTGAGAATCAAGTTTTGAGTCAACTTGAGTTTTTGTCGTGTTTGAACTTGAGTTTGTGTTTTTTTTTAACTTGAGTTTGTGGTGTTTTTGAACTTGAATTTGGGTGTTTGTTGAACTTGAGTTTTTGTGTTTTTTGAACTTGAGTTTCTGTTGTTTTTGAACTTGAGGTTGTGGAAATTGTTAAACTTGAGAATCAGGTGTTGGTTGAACTTAAGTTTGTGTGTCTGTTGAACTTGAGTTTGTGTCGTGTTTGAACTTGAGTTTGTGTCGTTTTTGAACTTGAGTTACTGTGTTTGTTGAACTTGAGTTTGTGTTGTGTTTGAACTTGAGTTTGTGTCGTGTTTGAACTTGAGTTACGTGTTTGGTGAACTTGAGTTTGTGTGTTTTTTGAACTTGAGTTTCTGTTGTTTTTGATTTACGGTTGTGGAAATTGTTAAACTTGAGAATCAGGTGTTGGTTGAACTTGAGTTTTGTGTTTGTTGAACTTGAGTTTGTGTCGTGTTTTAACTTGAGATTGTGTCGTTTTTGAACTTGAGTTTGTGTGTTTTTTGAACTTGAGTTTGTGTGGTTTTTGAACTTGAGTTTGTTTCGTGTTTGAACTTGAGTTTGTGGCGTTTGTTGAATTTGAGTTTGTGTCATGTTTGAACTTGAGTTTGTGGTGTTTTTGAACTTGAATTTGCTTGTTTGGTTAACTTGTGTTTTTTTGTTTTTTGAACTTAGGTTTCTGTTGTTTTTGAACTTGAGGTTGTGGAAATTGTTAAACTTGAGAATCAGGTGTTGGTTGAACTTGAGTTTGTGTGTTTGTTGAACTTAGGTTTGTGGTGTTTTTGAACTTGAGGTTGTTAAAATTGTTTAACTTGAGAATTGGGTATTGGTTGAACTTGAGTTTGTGATTTTATTGAACTTGAGTTTGGTTCGTGTTTTAACTTGAGTTTGTGATGTTTTTGAATTTGAGTTTGTGTGTTGGTTGAACTTGAGTTTATGTTGTGTTTGAACTTGAGTTTGTGGTGTTTTTGAACTTAAGTTTGTTTCGTGTTTGAACTTCAGTTCGTGTCGTGTTTGAACTTGAGTTTGTGGTGTTTTTGAACTTGAGTTTATGTTGTGTTTGAACTTGAGTTTGTGGTGTTTTTGAACTTAAGTTTGTTTCGTGTTTGAACTTCAGTTCGTGTCGTGTTTGAACTTGAGTTTGTGGTGTTTTTGAACTTAAGGTTGTGGCAATTTTTAAACTTGAGATTTGGGAATTGGTTGAACTTGAGTTTGTGTGTTTGTTGAACTTGAGTTTGTGGTTTTTGTTGAACTTGAGTTTGTGTCGTTTTTGAACTTGAATTTGGGTGTTTGTTGAACTTGAGTTTTTGTGTTTTTTGAACTTGAGTTTCTGTTGTTTTTGAACTTGAGGTTGTGGAAATTGTTAAACTTGAGAATCAGGTGTTGGTTGAACTTGAGATTGTGTGTTTTTTGAACCTGAGTTTGTATTGTGTTTTAACTTGAGATTGTGTCGTTTTTGAATTTGAGTTTGTGTGTTTGTTGAACTTGAGTTTGTGTTGTGTTTGAACTTGAGTTTGTGTCGTGTTTGAACTTGAGGTTGTGGAAATTGTTAAACTTGAGATTCAGGTGTTGGTTGAACTTGAGTTAGTGTGTTTGTTGAACTTGAGTTTTTTGTCGTGTTTGAACTTGAGTTTGTAGTGTTTGAACTTGAGTTTGTGGTGTTTTTTGAACTTAAGTTTGTTGAACTTGAGTTTGTGGCAATTGTTGAACTTCAGTTTGTGTCGTGTTTGAACTCTAGTCTGTTGTTTTTGAACTTGAGGTCGTTGAATTGTTAAACATGAGAATCAGGTTTTGGTTGAACTTGAATTTCTGTTGTTTTTGAACTTGAGGTTGTGGAAATTGTTAAAGTTGAGAATCAGGTGTTGGTTGAACTTGAGTTGCGTGTTTGGTGAACTTGAGTTTTTGTGTTTTTTGAACTTGAGTTTGTGTCATGTTTGATCTTGAGTTTGTGGTGATTTTGAACTTGATTTGGCATGTTTGGTGAAATTGAGTTTTTGTGTTTTTTGAACTTGAGATTGTGGAAATTGTTATACTTGAGAATCAAGTTTTGAGTCAACTTGAGTTTTTGTCGTGTTTGAACTTGAGTTTGTGTTTTTTTTTAACTTGAGTTTGTGGTGTTTTTGAACTTGAATTTGGGTGTTTTTTGAGCTTGAGTTTTTGTGTTTTTTGAACTTGAGTTTCTGTTTTTTTTTAACTTGAGGTTGTGGAAATTGTTAAACTTGAGAATCAGGTGTTGGTTGAACTTAATTTTGTGTCGTGTTTGAACTTGAGTTCATGTCGTGTTTGAACTTGATTTTGTGGTGTTTTTGAACTTAAGGTTGTGGAAATTTTTAAACTTGAGATTTGGGAATTGGTTGAACTTGAGTTATTGTGTTTGTTGAACTTGAGTTTGTGGTGTTTGTTGAACTTGAGTTTGTGGTTTTTGTTGAACTTGAGTTTGTGGCGTTTGTTGAACTTGAGTTTCTGTTGTTTTTGAACTTGAATTTGTGTCGTGTTTGAACTTGAGTTTGTGGCGTTTGTTGAACTTGAGTTTGTGGTGTTTGTTGAACTTGAGTTTTTGGTTTTTGTTGAACTTGAGTTTGTGTCGTTTTTGAACTTGAGTTTGTGTGTTTTTTGAACTTTTGTTTGTTTCGTGTTTGAACTTGAGTTTGTGGTGTTTGTTGAACTTGAGTTTGTGTGGTGTTTGAACTTGAGTTTGTAGCGTGTTTGACCATGAGTTTGTGGTGTTTTTGAACTTGAGTTTTTGTGTTCGTTGAACTTGAGTTTGTTTCGTGTTTGAACTTGAGATTGTGGTGTTTTTGAACTTGAGTTAGTGTGTTTGTTGAACTTGAGTTTGTGTCGTGTTTGAACTTTAGTTTGTGGTGTTTGTTGAGCTTGATTTTGTGTCGTGTTTGAACTTGAGTTTGTGGTTTTTGTTGAACTTGAGTTTGTGTCGTGTTTGAACTTGAGTTTGTGTGTTTTTTGAACTTGAGTTTGTGTGTTTTTTGAACTTGAGTTTGTCTGGTTTTTGAACTTGAGTTTGTTTCGTGTTTGAACTTCAGTTTGTGGCGTTTGTTGAGCTTGATTTTGTGTCATGTTCCAACTTGAGTTTGTGGTTTTTGTTGAACTTGAGTTTGTGTCGTGTTTGAACTTGAGTTTGTGTGTTTTTTGAACTTGAGTTTGTCTGGTTTTTGAACTTGAGTTTGTTTCGTGTTTGAACTTGAGTTTGTGGCATTTGTTGAATTTGAGTTTGTGTCATGTTTGAACTTGAGTTTGTGGTGTTTTTGAACTTGAATTTGCGTGTTTGGTTAACTTGAGTTTTTGTGTTTTTTGAACTTAGCTTTCTGTTGTTTTTGAACTTGAGGTTGTGGAAATTGTTAAACTTGAGAATCAGGTGTTGGTTGAACTTGAGCTTGTGTGTTTGTTGAACTTGAGTTTGTGGTGTTTTTGAACTTGAGGTTGTTGAAATTGTTAATCTTGAGAATTGGGTATTGGTTGAACTTGAGTTTGTGTCTTGTTTGAACGTGAGTTTGGTTCATGTTTTAACTTGAGTTTGTGATGTTTTTGAATTTGAGTTTGTGTGTTGGTATAACTTGAGTTTGTGTTGTGTTTGAACTTGAGTTTGTGGTGATTTTGAACTTGAGTTTGTGACGTGTTTGAACTTGAGTTTGTGGCGTTTTTGAACTTGAGTTTGTGGTGTTTCTGAACTTGAGTTTGTGGTGTTTTTGAACTTGAGTTTGTGGCGTTTGTTGAACTTGAGTTTCTGTTGTTTTTGAACTTGAATTTGTGTGTTTTTTGAACTTGAGTATCTGTTGTTTTTTGAACTTGAAGTTGTGGTTTTTTTTAACTTGAGGGTGTGGAATTTGTTAAACTTGAGAATTGGGTTTTGGTTGAACTTGAGTTTGTGGTGTTTTTGAACTTGAGTTTGTTTCGTGTTTGAACTTGAGTTTGTGGCGTTTGTTGAACTTTAGTTTCTGTTGTTTTTGAACTTGAATTTGTGTCGTGTTTGAACTTGAGTTTGTGGCGTTTGTTGAACTTGAGTTTGTGTCGTGTCTGAACTTGAGTTTGTGGTGTTTTTGAACTTGAGTTTGTGGTGTTTTTGAACTTGATTTTGTGTTTGAACTTGAGTTTGTGGTGTTTTTGAACTTGAATTTGTGTCGTGTTTGAACTTGAGTTTGTGGCGTTTGTTGAACTTGAGTTCTTGGTGTTTTTGAACTTGAGGGTGTGGAATTTGTTAATCTTGAGAATTGGGTATTGGTTGAACTTGAGTTTGTGTTTTTGTTGAACTTGAGTTTGTGTCGAGTTTGAACTTGAGTTTGTGGTGTTTTTTAACTTGATTTTGTGTGTTTGTTGAACTTGAGTTTGTGTTTGAACTTGAGTTTGTGGTGTTTTTGAACTTGAATTTGTGTCGTGTTTTAACTTGAGTTTGTGTGTTTGTTTAACTTGAGTTTGTGTTGTGTTTGAACTTGAGTTTGTGGCGTTTGTTGAACTTGAATTTGTGTCGTGTTTGAACTTGAGTTTGTGGCGTTTGTTGAACTTTAGCTTGTGTTGTGTCTGAACTTGAGTTTGTGGTGTTTGTTGAACTTGAGTTTGTGTGGTGTTTGAACTTGAATTTGTAGCGTGTTTGACCATGAGTTTGTGGTGTTTTTGAACTTGAGTTTTTGTGTTCGTTGAACTTGAGTTTGTTTCGTGTTTGAACTTGAGATTGTGGTGTTTTTGAACTTGAGTTAGTGTGTTTGTTGAACTTGAGTTTGTGTCGTGTTTGAACTTTAGTTTGTGGTGTTTGTTGAGCTTGATTTTGTGTCGTGTTTGAACTTGAGTTTGTGGTTTTTGTTGAACTTGAGTTTGTGTCGTGTTTGAACTTGAGTTTGTGTGTTTTTTTAACTTGAGTTTGTGTGGTTTTTGAACTTGAGTTTGTTTCGTGTTTGAACTTGAGTTTGTGGCGTTTGTTGAATTTGAGTTTGTGTTATGTTTGAACTTGAGTTTGTGGTGTTTTTGAACTTGAATTTGCGTGTTTGGTTATCTTGAGTTTTTGTGTTTTTTGAACTTAGCTTTCTGTTGTTTTTGAACTTGAGGTTGTGGAAATTGTTAAACTTTAGAATCAGGTGTTGGTTGAACTTGAGTTTGTGTGTTTGTTGAACTTGAGTTTGTGGTGTTTTTGAACTTGAGGTTGTTGAAATTTTTAATCTTGAGAATTGGGTATTGGTTGAACTTGAGTTTGTGTCGTGTTTGAACGTGAGTTTGGTTCGTGTTTTAACTTGAGTTTGTGATGTTTTTGAATTTGAGTTTGTGTGTTGGTTGAACTTGAGTTTGTGTTGTGTTTGAACTTGAGTTTGTTGTGATTTTGAACTTGAGTTTGTGACGTGTTTGAACTTGAGTTTGTGGCGTTTTTGAACTTGAGTTTGTGGTGTTTCTGAACTTGAGTTTGTGGTGTTTTTGAACTTGAGTTTGTGGCGTTTGTTGAACTTGAGTTTCTGTTGTTTTTGAACTTGAATTTGTGTCGTGTCTGAACTTGAGTTTGTGGCGTTTGTTGAACTTGAGTTTGTGGTGTTTTTGAACTTGAGGGTGTGGAATTTATTTAAACTTGAGAATTGGGTTTTGGTTGAACTTGCGTTTTTGTGTTTTTTAACTAGGTTTGTGTAGTGTTTGAACTTGAGTTTGTGGTGTTTTTGAACTTGATTTTGTGTTTGAACTTGAGTTTGTGGTGTTTTTGAACTTGAATTTGTGTCGTGTTTGAACTTGAGTTTGTGGCGTTTGTTGAACTTGAGTTCTTGGTGTTTTTGAACTTGAGGGTGTGGAATTTGTTAATCTTGAGAATTGGGTATTGGTTGAACTTGAGTTTGTGTTTTTGTTGAACTTGAGTTTGTGTCGAGTTTGAACTTGAGTTTGTGGTGTTTTTTAACTTGATTTTGTGTGTTTGTTGAACTTGAGTTTGTGTTTGAACTTGAGTTTGTGGTGTTTTTGAACTTGAATTTGTGTCGTGTTTTAACTTGAGTTTGTGTGTTTGTTTAACTTGAGTTTGTGTTGTGTTTGAACTTGAGTTTGTGGCGTTTGTTGAACTTGAATTTGTGTCGTGTTTGAACTTGAGTTTGTGGCGTTTGTTGAACTTTAGCTTGTGTTGTGTCTGAACTTGAGTTTGTGGTGTTTGTTGAACTTGAGTTTGTGTGGTGTTTGAACTTGAATTTGTAGCGTGTTTGACCATGAGTTTGTGGTGTTTTTGAACTTGAGTTTTTGTGTTCGTTGAACTTGAGTTTGTTTCGTGTTTGAACTTGAGATTGTGGTGTTTTTGAACTTGAGTTAGTGTGTTTGTTGAACTTGAGTTTGTGTCGTGTTTGAACTTTAGTTTGTGGTGTTTGTTGAGCTTGATTTTGTGTCGTGTTTGAACTTGAGTTTGTGGTTTTTGTTGAACTTGAGTTTGTGTCGTGTTTGAACTTGAGTTTGTGTGTTTTTTGAACTTGAGTTTGTGTGGTTTTTGAACTTGAGTTTGTTTCGTGTTTGAACTTGAGTTTGTGGCGTTTGTTGAATTTGAGTTTGTGTCATGTTTGAACTTGAGTTTGTGGTGTTTTTGAACTTGAATTTGCGTGTTTGGTTATCTTGAGTTTTTGTGTTTTTTGAACTTAGCTTTCTGTTGTTTTTGAACTTGAGGTTGTGGAAATTGTTAAACTTTAGAATCAGGTGTTGGTTGAACTTGAGTTTGTGTGTTTGTTGAACTTGAGTTTGTGGTGTTTTTGAACTTGAGGTTGTTGAAATTTTTAATCTTGAGAATTGGGTATTGGTTGAACTTGAGTTTGTGTCGTGTTTGAACGTGAGTTTGGTTCGTGTTTTAACTTGAGTTTGTGATGTTTTTGAATTTGAGTTTGTGTGTTGGTTGAACTTGAGTTTGTGTTGTGTTTGAACTTGAGTTTGTTGTGATTTTGAACTTGAGTTTGTGACGTGTTTGAACTTGAGTTTGTGGCGTTTTTGAACTTGAGTTTGTGGTGTTTCTGAACTTGAGTTTGTGGTGTTTTTGAACTTGAGTTTGTGGCGTTTGTTGAACTTGAGTTTCTATTGTTTTTGAACTTGAATTTGTGTCGTGTCTGAACTTGAGTTTGTGGCGTTTGTTGAACTTGAGTTTGTGGTGTTTTTGAACTTGAGGGTGTGGAATTTATTTAAACTTGAGAATTGGGTTTTGGTTGAACTTGCGTTTTTGTGTTTTTTAACTAGGTTTGTGTAGTGTTTGAACCTGAGTTTGTGGTGTTTTTGAACTTGAGGTGCGTGTTTGGTGACCTTGAGTTTGTGTGTTTTTTGAACTTGAGTATCTATTGTTTTTTGAACTTGAAGTTGTGGTTTTTTTTAACTTGAGGGTGTGGAATTTGTTAAACTTGAGAATTGGGTTTTGGTTGAACTTGAGTTTGTGGTGTTTTTGAACTTGAGTTTGTTTCGTGTTTGAACTTGAGTTTGTGGCGTTTGTTGAACTTTAGTTTCTGTTGTTTTTGAACTTGAATTTGTGTCGTGTTTGAACTTGAGTTTGTGGCGTTTGTTGAACTTGAGTTTGTGTCGTGTCTGAACTTGAGTTTGTGGTGTTTTTGAACTTGAGTTTGTGGTGTTTTTGAACTTGATTTTGTGTTTGAACTTGAGTTTTTGGTGTTTTTGAACTTGAGTTTGTGTCGTGTTTTAACTTGAGTTTGTGTGTTTGTTTAACTTGATTTTGTGTTATGTTTGAATTTGAGTTTGTGGGGTTTTTGAACTTGAGTTTGTGGCGTTTGTTGAACTTGAGTTTCTGTTGTTTTTGAACTTGAATTTGTGTCGTGTTTGAACTTGAGTTTGTGGCGTTTGTTGAACTTGAGTTCTTGGTGTTTTTGAACTTGAGGGTGTGGAATTTGTTAATCTTGAGAATTGGGTATTGGTTGAACTTGAGTTTGTGTTTTTGTTGAACTTGAGTTTGTGTCGAGTTTGAACTTGAGTTTGTGATGTTTTTTAACTTGATTTTGTGTGTTTGTTGAACTTGAGTTTGTGTTTGAACTTGAGTTTGTGGTTTTTTTGAACTTGAGTTTGTGTCGTGTTTTAACTTGAGTTTGTGTGTTTGTTTAACTTGAGTTTGTGTTGTGTTTGAACTT